AGGAATGGGTCTCTGCAGAACACACAGTTTATGCCTTGGTCTCTGATAATTGAGCAAGTCTTTTTTTTTTTCCTGCTTCCAAACAGCTTTTATGCGTCCATGTGCACATAGACACACAAAGTGATCGATAATACAAGGATGGACTATTGCTTTGAAAAAAGAATAGACAGTATGATCCATCTTAATTAATATCAATTGGACTGCACCCTGCACTATATTGCTTAATTCGCAGTAAATAAAAAAACTACAGCTTAATTTCCCCATCCAATGTTTGAGGCAGGAAACTGAATTTATTATTGTTGTTTCAAGATATCTTTACAAATGCATTTATATTACCGGTATAAACTTGTATTTTAACAAAACATACCATACTGTCAGTTATGGCAGCAGAAATGGTGACTAGTAGCCAGACCAAAAAAACTGCCTATATTATACAGAACAAAGTAAACATGAAATTTATTTCACATGACTGGAAAGAATGCATTGTCAAATACTATATCATTCAATAACCAAAGAAGTTTAGTTTTAGCCAAAGGGATATGCATCTACAGTATGAAGTTAGTATCTATAAGCAGTTATAAGATAAATTTTATTTAATGCCTATTAAAATTTATCACTACTGCAAAAGAATAGTCATTTACTCTATGTTAATATTGGAATCATGATAAAATCCTTCTTTTGTTTCCTGTTATTTTAATTTTGGGGAATAAAGAAACATCTTGTTTTAGATATGAATGGAAATTCCACTTAGAAAAATACCATACATGTTAATTACAGTTTGAAATATGTCCAAGACAGACTTACTGTTTTAGTAATTTAGACGCTTCTTCAAAACGTCCTTCTGGTATGTGGTTTAAAACCCACCTGCCACATGAAAATGCTTTGTCTTTTAGTGACACAGATTATTTAAGATTTAATGACAAGATGTATCTTGATTCAATGTTTCCTACCTATTTGCTTAACTAGATTTAAGGCAGATACTAAACTTACCCATGTGACATATTAATTCTTAGGCCAGTCACGCAATTACAAATTTCTTCCACCTCTCTCTTTTTTTTCTCTCTCTCCAGTTTACAACAAGCTGCAAAATGAAGAGTAGAGACAAAAATTTCTCAACCATCTTCCTAAATCCTTTCTATAGATTGGCAGGAAGAAGTTACAGACACCAATATTTCCATTTAATCACAGAATTAAGCAAATTTGAGAAAATCTATATCTGATTTTACAATGCTGAACGTGTTCTAAGAATGGTTATTTTTATTTTAAAATGGTTGTCAATAGTTTATATGTTTGTATATTGGTTTTTAACTTACTTTAGAAACATTTCAGACTTCAGGTTTCATTTTAATAGACTTTTAATACATTGAAAAATTGTTTAACAGGATGTTGAGCATCTGACTTTTTTTTAATTTGTATCCAAAGCTTTTTAAAAAACAATGGGGAAAGTAGCAAAAAAGAAATTATTTATAGTAAAGTGCACATACTCTATGAGGAGGAAAGGAAAATTGAAACTGAGTTTTTCATGTGACTGGGAGGGCTTCAGTAACTAAGTGCTATTGAACACATGGCTCAAGACCACTATGTTGAAAATGAAGGGTGTTCCTCTGGCTAACTCTGCATCAACTTGAACTACCTTCAAAAAAATATTACAGATAGAAATGAAAAGATCCATTGACAGCAACCACAAGTAACTGAAAATGATTGTTTTCAGTTTTCTAAAAGAAGGTGAAATTCTTATGTCTTGGATGATCTTTTAAAATTAAACTAGTATTTTATTAAGAAATTTTCAGAAAATAGGACTATCACATCTGGGTTGCAAAATCTGGAAGACCACTTGGTAACAGCATTAACACTGTGATTATATTTTAAAATTTGACAAATATTTAAATATTCCTTTTAATTAATTTTAAATTTGTATTGTTTTGTATGTATTTTAAATAGATTGTCAGCCGCCCTGAGTCCTACGGGAGAAGGGCGGGATATAAATCCAAAAATAAATAAAAAAATAAATAAAAAATCTTATATAGACATAGATATAAATATATACATGTATATAAGCACATACACGTACATAGGAAGAAGCCACTTATAATAGGTAATTTCAGACTTTCTACTTAACATCTATTTAATTTCTTGAGTTGAGAGATCCAAGAATCATGAGGCCTACTTCTAGCATTACCTGGAAAACAGGTGGTCTTGTTTAACAGCTGACTCGTTTAGTAACTGTTTGCAGGTATAATGGGGATGAAAAAGTAACTTATGACCAATTCTCACATTTAGTACCTTCACAGGTCTGTAAAGCAAATGAAAGCTGAAATGAGACCATAAGCACAGTTGTGATTTCACTGAGTGATCCCTTTACTTAAGCACCAGGTTGCCTATCCCAACTGTGGTCACTAAACAAGGACTACTTGTAATTAGATTTAACTACTAAAAATTAACACTTTTGATTTAACAGGATAACTATTTATTCTGAGTTTTATATTTTACTAATTTCTTGTATGATTGAGCTTTTTTTCTATTTAATTTGTAGGGAATCACACCAATCCCTGATCACTTTAACTTCTGGGATAAGCTCCACATCTTTTCTTAACAGCTTGTTTTGGATTGGTCTACATCAGACATGTCAAACTCGCGATGTCACGTGATGCCACATGACATATCGGAGCTTTTTCCCCATTGCCGGCAATGGGGTGGGCGCGGTTTCCTCGTGACATGTCCGGCCCGTGGGCCAGCAGTTTGACACCCCTGCTTGGTCCTATTGTAGGTTTCTTGTTTATATATTAAATAGGGATGTGCTGGGCTGAGTAGCCTATTTTTACTTAGGTCTGGTCACCTGAAGAAGCCAATTTCCTAGGTATAGTTCTCCATTTATATTAAAGATTATAGATACAATATAGTGGCATAATATAAACAAAAGCAACCTTTGGTAATCCTTTGTCTTCAGACTAGGTCAAACAAATTTCTCCTTAGTTCAGGATGACTTTTACTGCTCTATTTCCTATAACTGTTTCAAGGAATAGTATATATGTTTATCCTTTAAATACAGATGTGATTGTATCTGCAAGCTCTGATGTGAAAGCAAACACATTTTAATAGTCCATTGCTTTGTGGCCGATTCCAAAAAGTCTACTTTTTTCTTGATAAAATACTTAAAAGGTTTAAATATTTTAAGCACATTATGTAAAAACTGGCAAAGCACCCTGGTGATTAATTATGAACACATAAACATACCTCTCCTCTCTGTCTCATTCCCCAGCAGTTTAGTAATTGTTTTTCAACCACAGTGCAAAAAAGTTGAAATTATAAATGACTTTTAGATGGACTTAGTAAATGATGATAGCAAGTTAAAGCTTGTCAGCGCTCTTTCCCTCAGTGCTGAGTTTGCACCATGGGCATCAAATGTCTGGAAGTTACAGATAAGACCCTCCAGTTCATAAAATGTAGCTGTTTCCTCATGATCTGTTTTGAAAAAAAGGTACTAGCAGCCAGGCTGAAGGCCCACTGAAGCCCACAGCAGAACTTCACCTATCTAGCACCACCAGCCACTTCTTGGAGGACCACACACGTTGTTAATGACAATTTGGTTTTCATTAAAGGAATACATATAGGCAGGGAGTCCACCCAATATATCTCAAATACTTTATGGCTTGGGTGTTTATTTAGTTGAAGTCTATAGAAATTAGAGTATGGCCCCTTTAATTAAGAAGAGCCCCTTTTAAATTCAATTTTCACACTGCACTTCTAAACAGAAGCATCATTTTAGCAACGAACCTAAGCAACTGCACTATATGTATCCCGTCTTGGTAGTTGGTTATAGGTGAGGAGGAGTAGAGCAAGGCAGTGGGACAAATGATGGAATAAGCTACTGATTTGCATTATTTATTTCTCTTTAAGAATTTTTCCCATTGCATTGTTTAATCATATACAAAAAATGAATTTGTTCAATGATTATCCATATTCAAAATACAGACAGGGAGGTGGGCGGGTGCCTTAGTAGTTACCAAAATATAGTACATTTAGAGCTGAATTAACAATTCTGTTTTTATATTTTGCCATTAAGAAAGCCTAGCCATGCAAACCTGTATAAGGCAACCTTCTATTTCGATACTTTGCCCCTGAGCCACGTGTCATCCACAAATGACTACGGAATTAAATTAAAAAGCACTAACGCGTACTCATGAGATAGCTTCCCCAAGCTGCGGGTGCGTGCCAGGAGAAGTCTGGCCCTTTAAGAAACCAACTCAGTCGTGAGAAACGCTGCTGCTGCTGCTCGGGCTTGCTTAAATTCCCAAGTGTCCAGTTAAGAAATAGACAGCTGTCTCTTTAAATGTCATTTCCTCCCATTGTATTTGAATCGTGATCAGGAAAGAGGATGTGAAACCAGAGAGGCTCGGAGGAGAGACCATCGGGGTTGGCTTCAATAACCGTATATTAGCAATAATAGCAGCTACGGCGGCTCCGACCCGGGTCATAATGAAGGCGGAGGAGCCAAGGATGCTTTGCGCTACCTCCGCAGTGCAGGAAGCCCTCGCCAGGCAGACGACCTAATCCAGGCAGCCCAGAGACTCCGGGATAAGCCCAGCGGTGACAGCTGAGCGCCGGCCGCCAGCGCCAGCAATAGCGGCGGGCTCTGCCTAGCGGCCAGTCGCGCGGCGCGAGCGGGAGGAGCGTCCCGAGGATGGGCGCGTAGCTCCGAAGGGATCGTCGCCTCGCCTGCCCGCCCAGACAGCTCCGGAGCGCCTGCGGCTAGGTGGCCGCGGTCCCTCTCGCCCTTGCCCGCGCGTCGCCAGCCCCCCCCCGCCCCTCCCCTCCCCTCCCCTCCCTCGGCCTTACAGGCGGCCACCCTGTGGATGTCACTGAGGGTGGAGGCGCCTCTCTGCTCGCCGCCGCCGCCCCCCCCCCACGAAAAGGCATTCGGGAGCCGGCAGCCTTTGTAGGGGCAGACCTGGTCGCGGACAAGCCGAGAGTCACGACGGCCGCCGCCGCCGCCGCTACAAAGGAGCGACCCCTGCCAATGTCATCCTCGGCCATCGAAAGGAAGAGCCTGGAGCCCTCCGAGTAAGTCGTGCCCGCCGCCGCTGCTCTTCGGGGCTCTCTTGCTCAGCGCCAACTTTCCCGGAGGGAGACGCAATCGCGTCGTGCGGGACGAGGGAGGGAAGGAGGGAGGGAGGGAGCCCTGGAACCGCAGCGTTAGGCGCTGCCGGGGCTGGAGCGGAGGGCGTCGGGAGGGCAGCACAATGGGGCTGCCGCTCGCTCTTTCCCTGCGCTTTCAAAGACGCGCCTTCCCCTCCTGCCGCCGCCGCCGCCGCCGCCGCTCCCCCTCTTGCGACGGAGCGGGCAGGGTGGCCCTCCGCTTTGCCAGCTAGACCCCGTCAGCTCGTGCTGGTGATGCCTTCCTCAGGGGTTGCGCTGCGCCCCTTGGCAGGGCAGGCGGAACCCAGAGATGCGCCCAAGTTCCCCATTTTGACTCGGGAGATAAATTGCCCGAGACCTCAGACTCGCTAGCAAGCTCCCATGGAGAGTGAGAGTTGGACGGTCGGTAGGATGATGGGTGCCGTTTCTTATGACCTGGAGGTTTAAAGGAGGCTGGCGGCAGCTGAAAGCGATTTCAGAGAGCGAGAGAGAGAGAGAGAGAGAGAGAAAGAGAGATGGGGAAGCGAGTACTTAGTGAGAGGCTGCGTGGTTTCTTTCTCTCTCTCTCCTCGCTGCCCGCCCTGTTTAATGATCTGATGAGACTAGAGTGGTCGAGGCTATTATCAGATGAGGGCTCAGCGTCTCGATTGTCGAAATGCGAACCAGTTTGTTAACTACAACACGTTGTAGTTATCTCAGAAGTGGCCAGGCGCCGGCTTCTGGCCACCTTCTTAGTCCGCGTCCCTCTCCCGATTAGCAGCAAAGTTATAAAATGCTCAAAAGTATTAACAACATTAAGTAAGGTTTTCTGGTGAATTTCTTACAAGGATCCTGTTACAAGGATTTCCAAAGGATTGCTGATATATCATATCTACAATTACGGTTGCTGGTTACTAAATCACTGAACTTGAGTTTTAAAGCAGCAATGCTTTTTGTGCTTATTTGGGAATCACTTCGAAGTATATATGCATGCATAATTGTATGGCTATTCTTACCAGATAACAGCCATTTTATTTCTGGGAGGGAAAATTGCTTTGGTTGAATATACTTTTTAAAGAAATGGTCAGCTGTTTCATGGAGATGGAGAAATAATGGTATTGCATTTGGTTATTAAAGTGACATGATGGGGAGGGAGAGAACATTGGATGGAAGAGGTAAGAGGTAGGAAAACCTTAGACACCAACTCATTGGAGAAACAGGCTTTGTTGCTTTCAACAGGATTTATCCTGAAAGCACTTTGGTTAGATCAATAGTTTTACTTCATTTGGATAAAATACCTTATATAAATATATGCATTATAGAAATAATAATAATACAGTTGGAAGGGACCTTGGAGGTCATCGAGTCCAACCCCCTGCTCAGGCTATCTTCCCCTGTACTTCAGTGTTCTGAGTTATACTTTAGGCTGCAATCCTATACTCAAGACTTGAGCCCATAAAACTGAATGAGATTTTATTATGAAGGAGAAGAGCTAATTTTCTAACAGTTATAAATAACCAAAACAAGAGATCGCCTATATTCCAAAACACTGCAAAATATGAGAATTTTATTCAGAATTCAAAATCATGGGATGAAAGTGCTCTTAAAGCACTTAGCAAACAAAAAGGTATCAGCTTAAGATAAAAAGTATACTAAAAATGTTAAAAGTGCTTCACTTCTTTACTTTCTGCTATTTATACGGCTCTACAAGAAATACTGGTAGCTTCTGTTACTGATTTCATTGAACTGAATAAGTGATTTGCTTCCTACCATTTTTTAAAGTTCATGGATGCTATTCTAATGGGACAGGTTTTTTTTAAAAAAAAATGTGTACAATATTAGATAAGCAGATGAAGTCCTATATTACACTTTTCTTTGAGTCATTCGGAAAGAAAAACTACTGAGCTGTATATGGACAGTCTCCTCTGTAAGAACTAAAAGGATTTAATAATAATAAACCACATAATATAGAAAGAGTGCTTATAGGTTTGGAATTAAATAGGGTATCTGTCTTTATAGTACCAATTAGTATTTTAATGTGAAGTATTTGAAAACTTGAGCATCTGTCAATACTTAATCATTTATTTTCTGATGAAACTGGAAATTCCTTTTAAAAAGGTTTTGAAAAGGTGTGTTTGTTTTTCATAGAGCCAAAAAACCGTAACTGGGTCTTATTTGGCCACTTTTCTATTCAGTACATTGAAATCAATTCCCTACTCACTGCACAAATTAATTTTGATTTAAATTAAAGCAACACTGACAATTATCTATCCAGCCTCTCTTCAAGACATCCAGCAAACCACCTCCCAATTAATTTTTCCATTTATATGCGATAAAAATGATGTGTAAGAGAAAGAATCTCAGAATGAGCTTATTTAGTATAAAAACTATATTTAGCAATAAAGCCAAAGCAAGGGGAAAATGTTATTAACAGTTTGACTAGAATGTAAATGATTACTTGTCATTAATTTTAAAAATCTGAGTCTTTCTTTTCAAGGTTTATGAGCTAAAGGTTAAGTGTGTGTTAAAATATCTTACTCTGAGCTGCTGACTGTGCAGGCTGCCAGTGTTACACTTGGGAATTAATTCTCAACAGTAGCTATACAATAGAATATCAAGGGAGCAAAGCGGGTAACAAGATGATAATAGAGTAACATTTCTCCTCTCTCTTATTTAATCATGACTTTAGCTCTCGTTTCAGCTTACTGAGGAAGGAACTGCTGCTTACTAATACAGTAGGCTTCTCCTATAATCGTTCTGCCAAATAGTTTTTACTGAATACTCTTCTATTGCTCCTTTGTACACTACTTTCTGCTCATTTGGGAGGAACAGAAGAATAATAAAAGTAGCAGCACCAGTAGTGAGAACCAGTGTGGTGTAGTAGTTAAGACATCTTGCTAGAAATTGGGAAGAGTGTTGAGTTCTAGTCCCACCTTGGGCACAGAGGCATTTGGGTGACCTTAGGCCAAGCTCACCCTCTGCCCTAGAAAGAAGGCAATGTCAAACCACTTCTGAAATTCTTCCCAAGGAAACTGCAGGGACTTTTCCAGACAGTCACCTGGGAGTCTACACTGATTTGAAGGTGCAGAAAAGAAAAGGAGAGGAAAGAAAGTACCAGTGGTACCCTTCAGCATTAGAACAACCTTTCATGAAATATTTCAAAGGTCTCAGGATAACTAAGGAAGTTTTTGGGGAAAGGACTTTTACACATTACAAGATTTTATTATGATGAAAATGCTACACAGGGTTCAAAGTGAGTATACTGTATGCTACTAATACCTAAGAAGCTACTGCAGTTGATCCCATAAATATATGGAATCACAGTATTTACTATTTACAGTACTTTGCAGTACTTTAGCCAGACTCAGCCTACTCTGCCTTGTGCTATCGCGGAAGGAAAGTATGTGAGATCAGAAATGCCCTCAACCTCCCAGGCTTTACAAAGGCTTAGAAAATTTATGTTTTCACAGAGCACACGGGTGTTGACAGAGTAAGAACTGTTAGCTAAATGTAATTTTCAATTGTTTCATTTGACTTTAAACAACACTGAAGTTTTGTTGAAATGGGCAGTATTTAAATAATTATATAAATAGCATATTGTTGATGACCTTCATTTTGGCTAATGCAGAATACTGTATACTATATTGTTGCTCAGAATACTGTTAAGTTTTTATGAGACCAAAGAGGAATATCCCATCCTTTTTCACAAACAATTTTTCTATATTTCATTATCAAATATTCAGTATTCCAGAGCTGTTTCACTGAACTTTGGGAGAGACAGCCTTTCAAATTTGCCTTTCACTATTATTTTAATGATTCAAGTTTTAAAATTTTATTAAACACAAACTCTTCCCCTCCTTTCTTAGTGATCCAATTCTCAGTTCTGTTGTTTATTTCCTGAATTTGCTATGAGGAGCAGTGATTAACGTAATTCCATAATATCAACAAGGGCTATGAAGTTGTTTAATTTTCTTTTTATTTATTTAAGCAGATTGTTGTCTGTAACATAAAAGTACCAAAGAAAAAGGATTTGCAGGATTCTATCATAGAATGGGCCATCTATGAATGTCAAAATGCATGCCCATTCACATTCTCTTTCTTTTACATGTTTGTTTATATGTTTACAGGCTTTTTACAAATAAATCTGCAGAGGGATGAAACAACAATCTTACTAAATAAAACTCATCTTAAATGCACTAATTGTACTTTATAAAACCATTCTGTTATGCTCACTGGTTAGTAAAATAAATATAAAATTTAACTATTTACATGATTCCTTTAAGGACAAATAACTGAGTGTAAATAATTTTCCATATTAAAATAGAGTAATAAAGACATGATCAAGATGCCATTGCTTACCTCCATTTCTTATTAAATAATTCATTAAAAATATTCAGTGCTACTGTATGTTTGGCAAACTAGAAAAGGAAAGCAAATAGAAAAAGACTTTAGAAATAGCATTGTCTTTAGTTCTAAGAGTTTTTTACACAATCCACACTTAATTATTACAGAACAAGATCACATAGGGAAACCATTAGAGATACCTATTTTCACTCAGCTCAGAACTATGACATAGTTTCTATTCAATAAGATTTTGTTTTTTATAAGTAGTTGACTAAAACGTCTGCATTTTATTAAATACAAAATGTGTTCCTGATATTAAACCAATATAGCAAAAATATGTTTATCAACAAATTGCATGTTCACCTTTTTATTATGAAGTACATTATAATCAATTTATATCCTGCACTGAAGTACTAAAATATTTGTAGTTTTAGTAAAATTGATTTGTAGGGAATGAAATTCATAGCATACAGTGGTTAGAAAAGAATACTGCAAACAGTGGGTTTTATTAGTTGTACATGACTATATATAGTAAGTTTAAAAAAAAAGGTTAATTTATACTGCTTTTGCAGTACTGAGGAATGGCTAAAGATCACGCAAGCCATTTTAATCCCACCACCATTGAACAGTTTATTTAGCTTTTCCTCTCAGTCTTTTTCTAAGAACTACCACCACCACTACTATAAATTTCTGAATCTGTCTGCCTGAAGGAATACAATCCCACTTTTACAAAAAGGCAAACTGAGATGGTCACAGGTCCAAATTCTTATACCCAAAGCTACATTCTCATCTGCTATTGCGGAAAATGTCCAAGTCTTCTATACCCAGTTCTCCCTTGATCAGGATAGAATCTCGATCCTAATTAGACTCTCTGCAGGTTGGAATGATTGCTTTGGTTTGTTTCGACCAGGGAGCCAGTGGATGAGGTGCTCCAAATCCCTCCTTCCTTGTTAACATGTGGAGGTTGTCAGCAAAACATTGGAGATCGATACTTCCTGAAAGCCATTGACCAGTACTGGCATGAAGATTGTCTCAGCTGTGACTTATGTGGGTGCCGACTTGGAGAAGTGGGAAGGAGACTATATTATAAACTGGGCAGAAAGCTCTGTCGAAGAGACTATCTCAGGTAAGCTACTCGTAATCCTCATCCCTTTGCCTTGCTGATAGGTTTCTCTCACACTTCTTTAGAACAAGATGTCTCAACCTCAGCAATTTTAAGAGGCATGGACCTCAACTCCCAGAATTCCCAGCGAGAGTTAAAGTCCACTCATCTTAAAGTTACTGAGGTTGAGAAACTTTGCTTTAGAACAAAACTAGGATCACCTACAAAATTTGAGCACATCAGCTCCGGGTTGGGTTCAACTTGGGCTAAAATAACATATATGGTTGTTTGAAAGGAACTAGTCTCAAAACCCAACTTGGGTAAGCCTTTTGCCGGATTAGCCTGAGAAGAGGGACTCTTTCAGCAAAGTCTGATTTGGTAGAGAGTGAGGCTGAAAAAAAGATCCAACCCTTGAAAGTGATGCTAGAATGACAGTATTACAGACAGAAAGAGGAAAGGAGGCAGAATCATGACAGAGGGCCTAGGAGTCTAAGAATGACTAAATAACAAAATGTATGTTCAAGACATGAGGGTAGGGGGACAATAGTGTTGCCAATTGCTTTGGGCTTTGCTAAAAGTATGGCTCAGGATTTCAAATTGATAAAATGACTCAATAATACCAATTCAATGCAGAACAACTAATCAGTTGCCTTTATACAATCTCAATTATTTCCATTAATTTAGTACTCCCCTTGTAGTCTTATTTAGTGGACCACTGATTTCAGTAGGAAAAATATACCCTGGGACAAGAGTATAGTGTGAATAAATTCTAAGCACAGGTAATCCTCAACTTACAACTATTTGTTTAGTGACTGTTCGAAGTTACAACAGCACTGAAAAAAGTGACATGACCGTTTTTCACACTTACAAGTGTTGTAACATCCCCGTGGTCACATGATCAAAATTCAGATGTTTGGCAACTGACATATATTTATGACGGCTGCAGTGTCCCGGGATCATATGATCACGTTTGGCCACCTTCTGACAAGCAAAGTCAATGAGAAGCCAGATTCACTTAACAATTGTGTTACTAACTTAACAATTGCAATCATTCACTTAACAACTGTGGCAAGAAAGGTTGTAAAAGGGGCAAAATTCACTTAACAACTATCTTGCCTAGCAATGGAAATGTTGGGCTCAATTGTGGTCATAAGTCAAGGACTACTAGTATGTGTATTGTGCTTCCAATGAACATTATGCCATTAAGCCTTTAAAAGGCCCCATGTTTTTTTCTGAACTGAATAGTTGAAAACCAAGACTAAATGAACAAAACAATATTCACAACATTAATACATTTCAAAAAATTAATCAATATTTAATTACAATGTTAACATTGCATTACTGCATCAAGAAATTTTACTAATTCAGAGTGGAGGGATAGGAATAAAACTGCTAACTGGCTTATTTTTATATTTGTGTACCACTTCTCATTATTAAAAAATCTCAAAGCAGTATACAAATTGCTCCATTTTAAACTTTTTTCCAGCAACTGTCTTGTTTGACTAAAAGAACTAGCTTTACATAACATAAATTGCAGCAAATTTCCAGAATAATTCAGTACCCTCAGAGGATTTTGTCCTATTTCCACTGGCTGAATATTTTCTGAGATGGCAGAACATCTGGACTGTTAAGTTTCCATAACTTGTAATTGAATATGTCCTGACTTTTCACACTATAATGTGTGTTAATTATTTTCATTTGCTTAATGAAGTGTTTCATAGAAATAGACTGCTCAACCATGTTTTTTAAAAAAATTGTAATTCAAATAGTAATAGTATAGTATAGTATTAGTATAGTATTGGTATAGCATAGCATAGCATAGGCTCCGTCTCCCAGTTTTTAAGACAATATTAGCAATTACTTTATGTATCATATTGCAAACTAAAAAGCAACATTTAGAAAAACATGGATATCTTAACAGGTATTGTACTATTGCTTTACTCAAGTAAACAGTGACATCTCTTGGAAGACAAGGGAGAAACATGTATCATTTTCATCCTCAGGATTATTGTTCCTGGCCCCATGTTTAGTTTACAAGAATATTTGAAATTAAAAAGCTTGTTCCAAAATTAATCATGTTAACATACAGAATATCTTACTGATATAATAAAATATGCCTAAAAGAATACAGTATAATAAAAAAATATAAAAGTAGTCCTCAACTTTCAACCATAATTGAGCTAGGAACTATGGCTGTAAATTTTGCTGGGCATCGGGCAGATCACCGCATGACCATGACTGATTTTACAACCTTTTTTGTTGCAGTCAATAATTGGATACGGCAAAAAATAAATAAATAAATAAATAATAATAATTGGATACGGCAGTTATATTAGCAATAGCACTTAGATTTACATACCACTTCACAGTGCTTTTACAGCTCTCTCTAAGCGGTTTACAGAGTCAGCCTATTGTCCCCAACAATCTGGCTCCTCATTTTATCAACCTCGGAAGGATGAAAGATTGAGTCAACCTTGAGCCGGTCAAGATCAAACTCCTGGCAATGGGCAGAGTTAGCCTGCAATATGCATTCTAACATTGCACAACCATGGCTCGACTGTAGTGAACTCTGTGGTTGTAAAATGAATGTCTTTAAATGAATCCATTGTCTACTGGAAACCAGAAACAAATGCCAATTTCTGGCAAAACAAATTGTGGTCACAAAGCTGCAGGACTCTGCAAACAGTGATAAAAGCGGACCAGTTGCCAAGCACCCAAAATATAATTGCATGACCATGAGATAGGTGTGTGTCTGTGTATGTGTGTGTGGTCTTCGAATCCAAGTCTAAGTACTGGGAAAGTGTGTTCTAACTTTGACTGAACTTGAAAAAAAGTTAGGTCCTGTCCTCAAAGGTTATGACTGCCACATCACACACACATAGTGATGTAGTTGCGTTCAGATGCTTGGCAACTGGCTTGCATTTACATCCGGTTGCAGCATCCCATGGTCACATGACTGCATTTTGCAATATTTTTTTGCCATTTTCCAGCAAAAAACCATCCATTTTATAAGATGGATTAGGACTTACAACCACAATTTGCTTAACAACCACAATAACTCACTTAAAAATGGTTGTAAAGTCAAGTACATTGACATGGTGACTTGTCTTACAGCTGCAATGATATATAACCAAAATTCCAGACTAAATGGTGGTCATAAGTAAAGGACTACTTGTATCTGCTTGTATTAACGTATAACCAGGAATTATAAAAAGTATGAAGAATTTTGCAATTCCTCTTTCTCTAGTCTGTAATGTGCATAGGAACAAGGCACATTATGCTAAGCATTATTTGTAAAAATACTTTAAGATCTATCATAATGACCACAATTCATATGATACCAATATGAAGATCAATCCTAAGCAATCTGTAATACCAAACTCATTATTATTCTACTTAATTCTTCCATAAATGTTTGATTTAAAATCAAATTCAAATTTGTACTCCTATAACAATTTGACTATTTTAATCTGGATTACTCAACAATCGATCTACAGAAGATTTTTAAGGGTCAATAAGCAGAAAGAAGGCAAATTAAGAATAGAAACTATTTCCAAACTCATTTGAGATCCTACTTTAATATTAGAAAGCTGAGCTGACACAGTCAGCTGTGGTGCAGTTGAAAATATTGTAGAGCTTTTTGCTTGCTTGCTTTGTAAAGATGTTCTGGCTATATTTCTTCAATGGATGCTATGCTCCTGTGGACTATGACATGTCCATAGAGTTATGTAGTCCTTATCAGGTGACCACAATTGGAACCAGCAACTCAGCTGTTAGGCGAAGCAAATCGCAAATGTGCTCACAATGTTACTTTAGGAGTCCTTTAAAGACCTGCAAAGAGCATAAATACAAGAATTGATCGAAAAGTTAGTTTTTTATCACTGTCATTAACTGCAAACAATAATTATTTATTTACATCCCACCCTTACTATTTTTACAAATAGTTCAAGAGGGTGCACATACCTCATCCTACTTTCTCTTCTTATTTTCCCCACAACAATCCTATAAAGTGAATTGGGCTGAGAGAGGGATAGGCCCAAAGTCTCTCAGCTGGCTTTCATGGCTAAGGCAGGACTTGAACTAAATTGAATTAATCAGGACAGTCGATAAATTAGGACTACCTATATAATTTGTTCCCTCTTTGTGCTTTCTTTTCCCTCTCCCCAGAACTTCAGATCATCCATGTTTGCTTAAAGATCTAATAAAATCAGGTCAAATAGATACACTTAGCTTTGTGTCAAAACTTTGTTAAAAGGGATTTTGGAATATTAACCTTGGACACTTTTTTTTCCCTCAAAAAAAGGCTTTTTGGCCAAGATGGTCTCTGTGCCTCCTGTGAGAAGAGAATCCGAGCCTATGAGATGACCATGAGAGTAAAGGACAAAGTGTACCATCTGGAATGCTTCAAATGTGCTGCTTGCCAGAAACATTTTTGCGTTGGTGACAGATACCTTCTCATAAACTCAGATATAGTATGTGAGCAAGACATCTACGAGTGGACTAAGATCAATGGGATGATATAACTCACTTGTGCCTCATAGTTACATTTCATGAGTGACATATATATTTAGCTATGGTGAGGTTATTGCTCACATCTTTATGCTTTCTCTAAGGGGGAAATGGAACAGAATACATAGGCATTGCATCCAACAAAATAAGTGATGATTGAATAAAAGACAAAATTATTTCTTTTAGCAAATATGCTGTGATGACAAACTGACACTAGAGGTAATGATTGAAACTAGAAAACCAATATAAAGCAACAATGGATACTTTTAAATTGAAGTGTGATAGGTAACTTTATGGATTTTTCTTCTCTAACCTGGTACTTTTCAGATAAATTGAGTCTACCAGTCCCTAGAAATCTAGCATTTGTTGTCCTAAGATTTCTGGCAGAAGGGTGGCCTTAACACTCTCAGACAAAATTGTTCAATTAAATTTTGCTTATTTTGTATCTATTTGTCTAGATTATACTCCCAGCACTAATATTACATGTAAGAGCATCAGGAGAGTTGTATGTCTGAAGAGGAAGGGCCTCCAAATAAGTGTAGCCTCCCCCCCCTTTAATGACACTTTTCTTTTTGAAAATGAAAGTACAATTTTTGTACCAGTGCAAAAGATGATACCTCATCAGATATAATTAAATCTTTGTGAAATCCATGAGAGTTAATGGCATGTAACTGGGAAGGGAGGAAAGACTGCAGCCTTAAATGGTAATTATTTCAAATAATGAAGATGGATAGCTACTTTTTGTTAATGTTGTTGGAAGGTGAGGAATTCCACTACTCCTTTCTATACAATATTTTTTTTAAGTTCTTCAACTATTTTATTAGAAAATGTAAATATATTGTATGTAGTAAGACTTAATTAAATAGACTTGATCTAAGAGTTGTGATATTTTTCATTCAATACACTGGCAGCTTTTTTGATTATCATTTTAGTGCAATAAATATATAGCTGTTGTATGGCTCATTTATTTGTACACAGAGTATCTTCCTTTGAGCTCAGATTTTGTTTCAACAGACTTAACAACATTGTTAATCTCACTGTATTAAATAGATTCAAAGGAGAAAATTTAAGTCTTCCTAATAATAGAAGAGGTTAATTTCCCCAACCTTTTGGGGATGCAGCCATTATTTATCTTGATTGCTATATGCATTGCAATAAATGTTGTAGGTGCCTAATTAATTTGTGATGTGACTAGTCATGAATTATTTGACTCCTCTATGCGCCATACATATGCTGCCTGATATTGTTTAGATTATTAAAATGAGATGATGCTTTAGGTGTGATTCTGATATTATTCTTGCATTTTGAGAACAGAAACATTTGCAAAGCGATCCCTGACATGTAGCAATGCACATTAGCTTTCATGTCTTTCCAGAGCAGCCTTATTATGCATGTTGATAAGGAATTAGGTTTTTCAGTATTCAGTGAGACTATATTTCCTACAAAGTATACTTAGGATTGTAATTATTTTTTCTTTATTCATTCTTTAACCATTACTTTCAGAATTATGAAGAGCTAATGCAGCTTTAATAACCACCTCTTAATTCATCCATGAAGAGTAGATAACTTGCTGTTTTTCTTGAAACTGAAACTCAAAGTGTCTTTTTGCCCAAAGGCTGTGTGCAGTTCAGTCACTCATTTAGTACAATCTCCCGAAAAAGAACTAAAGAAACTCTGGTGTAACCTTGTCATTAATTTTATATAAGCAGAAAAGTTCAGTTATAGCAGAATTCATGGTGATTAATAAGTCATGCTAAAAATATGAATTTCCAACAAATCTGATATATTTACTGTGGAGCGGAAGCTCTACCCATTGTTTAGAGAAACAATGTCTTGATGGGGTATGATGGGAGTTTTCAGTGAAACAAACATAATTGAACAAGAAAGTGAAATTGAAATTGAACAGATTCAAATATAAATCTAAAATGTCTTGGGCACTGTACTTAAATTTGTAAAATTTGCTAGACCCCTAATATTTTATTTGGTCTAGACTCTAGTTGTTACTAACCAATCTGTCACCATTTACATCTGTATAGCCAAGCAATTTTGCCAGCAAGTCTAAAGTTCTGATATCCCATACATTCTTGGAGGGAAAAAAAACCTAACAGAGAAAGTCACCCATTCTGCAGAAATATTTTATTTACCAAATAAGAGATTTTTTCCTCTGCCCTCCAAACTTTACCTTTAAGTTGGAGTCTTAGATCAGCTGAAAAGAATTCAAATTATTGAAAAAAATAATAGTTAGAATGCAGAGATGGTTGCAAATGTGCCTGCTGAAACAAGTGGACTCCTAAAAATTATACATTGGTTCAGAGAAGATGCTTCCATTGTGAATTTTAATCCTATTGTAATTCCATAATAGGGCTTCTCTCTCTTTTCTCTTTTCTTGTTCAGTTACCACATACATACTCTTTGTCTTTATCCATTCCATTCCATTCCACTTTGTCTCTTCAAAGCTATTATTTTTTGCTAGTGTTTTTATTAGAAGTGTGTGTGTGTGTGTGTGTGTGTGTGTGTGTGTGTGTGTGTGTGTGTGTGTGTGTGTGTGTGTGAATGTGACAGAGACCAAAAGAAAGGTTTGTGAATCAGAGGGACAATATTTGGGATATGCTGATGGGAATTTCATAGTCAACTAATTTTAATTCTGTTATTCTATTTCTTTTTTGTCCTGGACCTATCCATTTTGAATTGTGGATTGATAAATAGATAAGGATGTCACCTGCACAGTTTATGAATTATGGTGGGCAAGGATTGGTTTCAGCCAGAGTTAGTAAACCTAGGTTGGCAAGAAAAGGAAGCTGGCACATTGCAGGTTTTCTCTCTCTCTCTCTCTCTGCCTCTCTGCCTCACTCCCTCTCTCTCTCTCTCTCCTTTCTTGGCAGGGGGTCATTTTCATTTTGTGTGAATATAGTAAGCAAGTTTTCTAGGGAAAAAATAAGATTTTTTTCACAGGTTTAGCTATCCTCATATGTCTCTGAGATTACTGAATTTATTAAAATTAACATGAATTGTATTCCTCTGTATACTTGTTATTGCAAAGTCATGATGAATCATTAATTATTTCCATAGATCTGTATGAAAAAATATTTAAAAAAGAAGTACTAGCAGTACAAAGTTATTTTGGAGAAATTCCATTTTTAAAAATTTCATTAAACTGCTAATTAAGCCATACTAAATGAAATCAGTTAATAGCGAAACAGACACGAATATTGGATTACATTATATTTTGTCTGAATTCAATACAAGTTTTAAAAGCCTATCCTTTTTTTATTGTCCCCATTATTCAATGTCATGCTTTGAAGATAAGAGCATTACCTGCAGTATTACTTTTCCCTCTGTCTCCTTGGTTGGAGAAAATGTACCATATCGAAACGTAATGAAACTTTTAAATAGGCAGCATAAATTTAGAGCAGTTATTAACATAAGGCTGGCTAAAATAGCTGTCTTTGTGTCCCTGTTCCCTTTCTCAAGGTAACACCGAGTTCTCAAAATTGTTGTAGCCTAAGATCACATAATTTGAATTCTGCATACGGCAGCACAAAATTTAATACAATCTGCCAAATTCATAGCATACAGTGGTTAGAAAAGAATACTGTAAACATTAATTTGTATAATTGCATTCTAGTAATATAGATCACAAATTAAAAATACTTTGGATGTTATGTATATTATCTTCCTGTTCCTGAATAAGTTTTCATTAATATACAAGTTTTCATCCTAAATTTTAGGCTTACAAATATATGCTAGAGTACACATAGATTGTCTATGATCTAAGTCTAAAAAGAAAACAATTCATTAAGCCTGTTAATTGATTACATTGACTTATAATCCACAATAATTAGTCACTTCAAAACATATGCATTTAAATAGTAATCTACAAAAGTGCTAGCATGGTACAGTATAACAATGTATATACATTATATTAGTTTAATATTTTACCTTTTTGGTAATTGCTGGCTGCATGCAGGCAAATAAAATCAAATGGACAATTCATTCTTTTTGTTTACTCTGTAATAAAATGAAATACTTCATACCTGCTCTGTAACAAAAAAAAATATTCAATAATCAGTGAAAATTACTTTAGGCAGAGGTTTATTATAGGACTATATATTTTTATTATGGAATAATTTAAATTAAAGATAGGCTTACATAAATTAGGCTAGCACATGATAAACCAACTTTTGTCCTATAAACCATTATTTTCTGTATCTAAAAGACTTATAAATTTTCTTTCTTTAAGTTATGTTGTTCTGTCATTTTGAAAGGACCCTTAAGGCTCGGCACTTTATAATTTCAGATGTTTCAAAGCATATAAAATTCCATTTGATTTTAATTAGACAAACTGAATTGATTTTAAATAAAGTTACTCTAACTTCTTGCTGAATGTTACTGCCTATTAATGTTAAAAAATAATCTGAGACCTTTAAAGCCTTCAGTTTTTCTGCCCAAATGAGTTCCATACATTCAATCCAGACCAACTACTGAAACAGTTTGCTTTTTCAGGATGTGATATGCAATCTCTTAGGTCAAATTTCCATACCTGAAACTTTAAACTATAACTGCTATTGTCCACAGCAGGATCTTGGATATGCTTGCTAGGGTTGATGGATCTGGGATTTATCTGGGGGACATTAGGCTGGGGATATCTGCCTTAACAGGTACATGCCCCTACAGTAAAGAAGGAAGAATAATTTGATCCCTGTTACTGACTTTGAGAGAAGAACCACAATCATATTTGAGCCCAATTTCCCCCAATTGCTTGACTGTTTACATTTGGAACACCATTGCCTTTACCCGCACAACAGTAATCCTGTAAAGTAGATTGGGCCAAGAGAGAATGAGATCTCATAGCAAAAGTTGCATTTGAACTTAAGTCTCTCCACATAGGATAGCCTCCAACTTGTGGTTCCAGTTCAAAAATCAACATTGTGAAAGTCTCCAATTCGCCTCAACCTCCAAAACAAGTTTGTAGTTATGATTCTAGAGATAAGGTAGAAGTGCTTTAGCAGTGCCTGATATAAATCACAAAAGTTGAAAAATAACTGAGAGGAAATGATATAATAGATATGATTTAACAATTGAGCTTTACTTGTAACTCTATAGCTGTCATTCTCCAGAATTTCCCACTAGGGCTCTTTTTTCTCAGCAAGCACTGAAGTCTTTTTTTATTAATTTGTTTAATTTATGGCATCTTCATTATTAATCTGAATAATATGGAACTCTCCTTGGGTACAATAGCCTTCCTTTCCAGCCAATTAAATTCATAAAATGGCAACAAGTTTCAGAAGGGTTCTGCAGGGGGGAGAGTCCACAAACAACAATGACTTCCTCTAGTTCTCATCTAATAATCCGTTTGAAAAAGTCCACCATAAATGTTAGGTAAGATTTATTGTATTATATAACAATAGAGTAACTACTCGTAGCTTTGTGTTCCATGCATGTGTTCAAATATATTAGCAGCAGATATGAATTTATCCTATAAAATCTTGCTTTTGAAAATTTAAGCAAAGTGTAATTTGCTTTTCTTTCTCAAAAAGTACAGCACAAATAATTGGTGTATGTTTCACAAATTGCACAAAAAGCTCAATGTGGCCATGATGAAGAGCCTTAGAAAGATGCAAATTAAAAATTACTCCATAGTTCGTCCCTTTGACAGCCTTAGTCCCTGAAATTATGGGTTTTCTTGCATCTGAATGCCATGAATGGTGGGAGTCAAAGGAGATATGTAAGCAAGTCTCTGTCGCTCACTTCTTTTCTGTCTTTGAGACCATCAATAAAACATTTCAATGAGTTCTCCTATTTATTATTAAATTTATATCCCATTTTTCCAGCTATTTGAAACTTATTGGCTTATGGCAATAAAAGGAAAAAAAGACAAAACATGAAAATTAAAACAATATAACTAGAACCAAGACAAAATTAAGTTATTTTATATATAATTGAGTATATCAATTCAACCATTAATTTTTTTGAGAAACATTACTTTTTTCCATTTTTCTAACAGTGAAAACCATGCACACTTCCTTGGAAGGGAATTCCATAACCTAGGGAATATGTCCTTCTCCCCAATAACTAATACATGAGTTTCCATTAATAGAGGGATCGTCAAAAGGGTATCTACAGATTCTTTTTCATATAAGAAGAAATAAACACCAAGATCTTAAATTGTATCCTGTATACAACTGGCAATCATGATATGCTTCATCTAATACCTGTACCTTATATTAACCAAAATTTTGCATTAAAAGTAGCAGTGCCTTTTCCCAGAACTGCATGCACATTGCTAAGAAATAACTTCATATTATTTCAAGTCTTTAAAGATTTGCACAGCATCATTTCTTCCTGAGTTGCTTG